CTGTTTATTCTACCATTGGGTGCCTTAAAGGGCCCCGCCTGCTCAGACAAATTCAGACAACTACAGACCCCCCATTCTTGCCAGAGCCTCCAGCGAAACCACAGTGATGTGATCGAAAGGAGTATATATGTATTTCGATTCCGTTCTGGATGCTTGAGCATATCAAGTATATTATATAGTGGTATATAGTGTCCCGCCTTTTTTGCGAGCAAGCCTCCCAAGGCACCCCTGGAGGGAGCATGCCTTCCTGCTGCTTTGCGAGATGACGTGTGCCTCCTTGGCTACGAGAAAGAAGTTGCCTGAGCAGCGGTGGAGTAGGGTGTTCCCTTTTCGATGGAAACAAAGATTCGCTTCAACTCACCGCACTCAGAACCGACAAGGAAGTGTTCAGGATTGAATAAGCACTGAAAAGACAAAATGAACCAGGAATAGGTTTCGGAATACCATCCAAGAACACACCCGGAAGGGCAAACATAGGCTAGATAGCTAACTGGTGATGGTTTGGGAATGTTTGGGAGATGGAGGTTTCCATCAATGGGGGCGCCCCAAAACGGAGGGTCTATGATTAAACAACCCATTAAATTTTATGATTTGGTGGTCTCCCCATTTATGGAAACCCTCGGATATTGTTGTGTTATGTTGGTGCTTGTTTCATGTTTCCTCAAGGGTTATCTACTGTACTCCAGTTGAGTCTCACAAACCACTCTCGTCCCGACAGTCCAGCGGGCCAAGGCTTTGGGATTCGAACGGCGCGAGCTTCTTGGTGCGCAGCTTGGCGCAGGAGTCCACGCAGGTCCCTGCACTGGAAGCGCTGGTGGGCTGGTTTGGCGTAAAGGACAGGCGTTTGCACTGGGTTTAGCGGGCTCGGTTTGGTGGAATGACATTGGGGGCATGTGTGCGCCTGCCACCCGAAACAACAGCGACCCCCTGCCGTGCCAGGAGCATCATGCCAATTGGTGCAAAAATCTTGAGACTCTGCTGCTGAAGGGTCCGGACTTCTTGATGCGACTTCTGAAGATCTTCAAGTGTCAGGACCCTCGGTTTGACCGCCGCATTGGTATGTCCGCCAGGGTTGACTGCCTGATGGTCATGCCTGCCGTGAGCGGCGTGAGCGCTTGTGTGTTTCACCGGTGCCATCCGAGGGGCTGACTGTGCAATGATCTTTGGTTGTCGGGGATGAGAGATGAATGGCCAGAACAATGTTCTTATTCAATATGCTTACCATGCATTACCGATGCGTTGGAGAAATCGAATCGAAAGGCCACACCTTTGATTGTCGGGAGTTTGGAGGTCTCAACCAAAGATTTGCAACATTGCACCCTGAACAATTTCTGAAGGTCTTTGGAGGTTGGGACCTGTTTCAATCCAAGAGAACTTCCAACTTCACAATCTCAAGTTGCCGATTTGCTTGGGAACACAGCAGTCTCAGTCCCACGATGCTTGAGGACAGCGCATTGTTCCTGAAGATATTGGATCCGCTGCTGAAGCTGGTGACCTGCTCCCCCGAGACCCGAACGCAGCTGGCCAACTTCGAGGATTTCCTGCTGGAGCTGCTGCGGCGGCTGGAAGCCGATGAAGACGAACGCCCGAGTGGCCACTTGGCATCATGTTGGAAGGGAAAACACATGAAAACACGTTGGAGGTTCAAAAAATCATCAAATAATCTAACAGACACTGTTGATGTTGTTGTTCCTTGTTCACCCTGTCCAGAGAAGAAGTCCGTTGTCACTTCTTAGGGCAAAGCCACTGAATGCCCCGCATGCCCCCCAAAATAGAATCCAAACACCGAGCCCAACCTGATAAACTCTGAGGCAAGGTCCCCTTCGACCGCTGCAACTCCATGAATGCAGCCCCAGCGCACTTTCCGGATGACTTCGATGCAGACGGTAGCAAGGCAAAAACAGAACGGAAGCCCTGTGCGAGTCGAGCTTGGGTATGGGTGAGCTCATCAGGAGAGTTTGAAGATGTTTGAAGTGTGGAACTTGAACTCAACAAAAACTGGCATCCGTAGGTAGAGAAGTGCTTTGGGGTGCTTCAATCAGAAGCCGGCATTGCAAGGGAGTAGAGCCCATTGCCTTCCCAAGCAGCCATCACCCCATTGCATATAACATGAACCCAGTGAAGCAAAGATTCTGTCCTGAATTTTAAAGGTGTTCCTTTTCTACGGGTTCAGTGGCGGATCTCCACGCATCGCAATCGGACCAGTTGCTTGGCCGCGTTTGTTTGACCAGGCGGCGCCAGTGAGGCGGATGATCAGCGCGCAGTTGGACAACGATGACGCGGTGCACGTAAGACAGTCCTTGCTGCGGCTGCTGCTGCAGCTGTGCCAGCCGTTAAGCAAGGCACCGTGGCACTGCGGGGCTGATGGCTAGAGGCTATAGAAGATGTTGGTGCGTACAGTCAGACACAAACTGAGTCTTGGTAAAGATGCTCAAATCCCAGCAGCAGGCGGAAGAAGAGACTTCTCGTTGAGGGGGCAATAAGCGGCTGTAGGAAGGGCATGATCAGGGGATTGTGTTGCATTTTAGGGAAACAAGATTGTTAGAAGAAAACTGACTGGAGGAGCACCTGGCCACGTTGGTGTTGCGCTTCCGCTTGAAGCAGCAGCTGCGTCGGGTGTTGGATGAGGAGAAGCGACGCCAACGGGTGATTCTGAGGGCCATTGCGCAGCAATTGCTGGTCGCTTGGTCACGGACTGGTTCACAGTAGACCGGATTTTTGGGGACGGGTTCACGACCACATAATAAGCCTCACATTTTGATACAATTTTTACATATTTGTACATTATGCCAGCATAGACCCCAAACAGTTTCAGTTACTTTGCGTCAACTCCTTGAATTCGAATGTTGGTGGTAACGTCGGGCATTGTATTCCTAGCCTCAAGCTGTTTGGGAACGGCATGGAACAGCATGCACGCAAAGAATTAATGGTTCCTGATTCGCGGGTCGCGGGTGCAAAAACACAGATGTATGTCACGAGAATGTCGGAGGGCTACAATTGAAACGCTGTACCGCCGTTGCATGCATAGCCACAAGAAGAAACGGACAAGGCGGTGGAGATTCCGGGAAAGCGAGACAAGGCTCGGACAAGGCGGTGATAAAAGGACCTGGACAAGGCAGAGAAGGCAGGGCCCACAGCGGCAGGAGGACACTAGCAGGAAAAACAAGAGGGGTCAGAGGACAGCAGGAGGACACCAGGATGACAAGAAGGACACAGGGTTCAGGACACCAGGAGGACAAGCGAAGGACAGGGCTCGCAAGCGTGGCATGAGAACAGCAGGAGGGCACTAGCACAGAAGGACAAAAGGAGGACACAGGGCTTGCCAGCGCGGCCAGAATACAGCGCCAGCGGCAGAAGACAGCCGGAAATTCACAAGCGCAGCCCGAGGGCACCAGAAGGACACCAAAACCACACAAGGAGGACACAGGGCTTGCGAGCGCAGAGCGAGGACAGCAGGAGGACAGCAGGACACCAAGAGGACAGAAGAAAGGACACAGGTTTCGCAAGCGCGGCCAGTGAAGAGAACCCCAACAGTAAACTGTTTGGGGAACAAAAGGCTGAACTAGACCTCCCAAGTGGCAGCTTTCATAGCCAAAGTTTTGCAAACGGGCACTGGTGCTCTACAAGTCACCGACTCAAAGCTTTGACGGCGGTAGGGGTGAGAGTTGGGATGGGTCGGAAGAGAGGACAAACCCGGGAGAGGTGCATGAACAGAATAACAGGAATCTACAAAAACGCACAGATATCGCATTGCTTCCCGTGTGTTTCACGGGTCGCCCGATCCCAGCACAAGCCCCAGCGTTTGGCCCACTAGGTGATGTTCCAGAATGCGGCTCCCGACGAGGGGAATGCGACAGCACACAACTCGACAACTTTCAGTTGAGCATCATTCAGGCAACTTACATGTGATCAGTGGCCAGAGATTTGCATGGTTTCAAGCAAGACATGGTCAGACTAGTTTGTGTGTTGGTGAGTGATTTCCTTTACAGCCTTTGCAGTTTTTTGGCATGACTGCATCCCAGAAAAGTAGGCCCACTCCGTGGCCACTGATGAAGCTTTTGGCAATCCCTCGATGCATGTCACGGCTGGTAGGACGTTGTCGGTTGGGGTTGGACCGTACCTGGGTTTGGCACAGGTTCTACCACGCCCCACATGCCCAAGCAAGATTGAAAATATATAGATCATTTTGACCACAGGATGGGGTTGCGCAAGCTCGCCAGGTGCTTATGGCAGCCCTTTGGCTTCGGTTCGGCTGGCTGAAGACACATCAAAGTTGGAAAGCCATCATATCAAGCTAGGCTGCCACAAGGTGCGAGATGGTCCTACTCAAGCATGGTGTCCATTGCTTTCCTGTGTCTTTGTGTTCGGAGGGTCCCGGATGGTTCAGGGGACCTGCCAAAGCGATGCAACGTGTCTCTTTCGACATTTCGACCCAGATGGCACCTCCCACGACCAGCGCTGGTTGCGAGGAAAAATATCCTCCGCGCGGCGGCGGCGCAAACAGTGCGGCGCGTGGACCGAAGCTACATACATCCCGTTCCATCCTGCATCACCCATGCCGAGAGAGGAGCCGTTCGAAAGGCCTCATTGGCTCAGTTGGAAAACACCAACCTCACACTTTTCGGTCAAAAGAGTCAAAAGGAAGACTGGTACTTCAAACAAGCGAATTCGCTTCGCTTGAAGGCAAGGCCCTGCTCACAGCTCGGCACAACCTTGAACCGAAACGCTTTCCTGTGAGCCCGATGGTGGAGTCGATTTCTTTCCAGGGCTCCAACTCCAGAACCTTCATAGAGGAGTACACAGCTCATTCCCAATTTGCATAGACTGCGATTGTTCAACGAGCAATTTGCAGGATGATGCAGCTGTGTTTTCCGTTCAGTCTTGACATGGAAGATTAAAAAATATCCCAAGGGCCACGAGAATGTTCTTGTACAAAAATACTAAAACACCCCACGGTTCAAGCGCTGGGGCTGCCCAACACGTGAACCTGACCCAGCAAGGTGAGGGAGTCGAAGAGCACCGCGGTTTACCAGAGAGGGAGGGAGCTGGTGATCGTTGACTGGATGAAAGTCCAAAGAAACCCCAACAAGTAACGTTGGTAGTTTGTGTTGGTGTGGCAGGAAAATGCAGGAAGACGCTGCAGGTGGTCCCAAAACTCCATCAGGGATGGTCCATGTTAGCCAAATTGAAGACCAGGTGTTTTGCTTGCGTTAGGCTGAGTTCTTCACAGGCCTTCCAAGGTAGTGGCTTCCTATTGTCCCATTTTCAAGTCTGCTGTTCCAGCGCAGTCCATGTGAAATAACACCTGGATCTGGATTCAGCATTTTTGCTTTTAAAAGAACACCCCTTAGCAGGGCGTTCGTGTACCTCACTATTCTGCCTCAAAGTCGTCACCTATATACAGTTGTTTGTCAATCTGAGACGGGAAACATGAGTGGCCTCCACACCGTTGTCCCATGCTTGCTTTGTATTTGTGTTTGCTGTTATTCGACGGTTGTTTCGTAGGATGGGCATCTCGTTCTTGAACCTTGCGTTCGCCGGGTTCGAATTGGTCGTTGGCACATTGAATGGACCCAGGCCTTCGAAATCCTTCGAATGTGGATGGAAATGTTTGATGTAGTGCACCAAGATGAGTGGTTGTCAAAGGAAAACCCCAGACAATGTGCAAAAGGCGGGACAAAGGTTTTTTCTGGTTGCACGACATCTACAAGTTGTGGGTGGGTCTCAATATGTCTCAATGTAGGCCCATGAAGTCGGTGAAAGATGTTCAAATTGGTTCTAGTATTTGTGGCCCCCCGGCTCGACCTCACTGAGGGCCGAGGCAGTCGAGTCACCGGAGCATGTGAAGATTGACGTGGAGGGCGAGGACCATGTGCCGCCCTCATCCGGGGGAGCTGGGCAGGTCTCAGTTGATCGATTGGGCCAGTCGGCGATTCATTTTTCGACGACATCCTGGCAGGTGGCCCCTGAGGAGGAAGGCAGACGGTCCAGCTGCTTGGCTGTGAGGACGAACTCAGGGGAATTCAGCCATTGAAAGCTGATAAAAATAGAAGGCCATCGCTACTAGGGTGGAGGCCATCGCTACTAGGCGAAGGCCATCGCTGAGAAAAATCGAAATCCCTGTTCTCCTCACGTTTCCTTCCTCCTCTTCTCACCAAGGCGAGAGGAGCAAAGGCGGAAAAAGGCACCCGAGCTCGTCGTCGTGAGCGAGCTCGCTCTTCGTAGCTCTTCGGTCCGGGAGACATTTGACAGCGGGTAGGGATCCTTTGCTCAAATATATAGCTGATGGTACTTTTACAGTACTAAAGTCCCGGACCTGCATCTTCCTTAAGCAAAAGTTTGATGGGATGGACGTTCACACTTGCTCAGTCATGTTCCAGCCACATGTTTTGCAGTGTTTAGTCATGCAGTTTATTCTTGGCAAGTCCCTTTTGTCGGCAATTAGATATCGAGGGATTTATGAGGGTTCTCTCCTCCTCCTCCTCCTCTTCCTCCTCCTCCTCCTCATCATCATCATCATCATCATCCAATAATTTTGTGTTGTAACTGCTCAGTACTCAAACCCCTCCACTATTATCCTCTACTTCTGTGTGGTATGGGGGTTCGAATTCTAGGTTGTTTCCAGACAAGGCAAAGAAAAGGAAAACATATTTAAAGCCTCAAATCTCTAGACATTATTCTAGGGCCCCTCCCTAAATAATGTCAGAAAGCTGCTTGCTGGACTACCCCCTTTGCTTGAATGATTTTTTTGTTTTCCAATACTTTTGAATAAGAGATTTTATAAAGAAAGTGCATCAAATCTCAATGGAAATCTCCAAATGTTTAATAGAAATCTCCATCCAAAAGCCTGTAAGATAAGCAAATCCCAGCAAACTCAAAAGGGAAAAAGTAAACTATAACATATTCCACTACAACTACCCCTCAAAAAAATACATTATTCTGGGGGCCTTTATAAATCTGTGCAGGAAAAAAAGTCATATCAGTCTTCAACACGTTCGACTTAGTGGACCTTCGTTGAAATGACGCCGCCATATGTCACGCTCAAGTTCGAAAGCTCATCTCCCCGCATGGGCTATCACGTCCCGCTTGTCTTGAGGGCTGTGCTGCTGTTGCAGACGAGCTGCATTGGACTTTTGGCCTGGCAGCAGCATAGCCACTGGACATTGCAGAGGGAACTGGTGGGGTTGCGTGTTGAGCTCCAATTTTTGCGGGAGGCTGAGTGGGGTGCTGGAGGTGGAGGGGGCGACCAAGACCCAAGCCCTGTTGGGATCGGAAATCCTGTTGACCGGCCAGAGTTTTCGAAGGACCGGCAACAGGCTCTCAAAGGGCAGTTGGGTTACAGTGCAGACACGTGCCTTGTTGGCTTGGGCATTGCATTGGTTGGCGTACTTTTGATCTTGATTGCATTGGGATATTTGTACAATCAGTTCATTGCCACACGGGTTGACAAAGGTGTGTTGAGCTCCCCTTCAAACAAACAGCAACTGGCACAGAGACAGCTGGCAGAGCTCCGACTTCGACGTCATGGCTTTGCTCAATAGGTACATCCTCATTGAGTACGACATTGGAGGACCGAGGCTTTGGCACGAACGACTGGCCCTAGAGCATGTTTCCGGCGACACCTACATAGTAGTCACCCCGGATCGGGATGCTGAGGAGCTGGGGCTGCTAAACAGTGACATTCGTCACATCCGAGTCCGGGCTGCCGCAAATGTAGACCCCCCGGGTGTGAATGCCGCTGAAATCTATGGGTTGCCAGCTTGGGGGCAAAATGATATGAACTCCATCCGGGATGAGGCCAGACAGTTAGCAGAGCAGGAAAGACGGGCACTACATGCAGGTGGGGTCGTTGCTGCGCCTCCCATGGGGGCGGGAGTTGGTCCGCCTGCTGGGGCCCTCCGGCTGCCGCTGTTGTGCCACAGGCCTTTGACCCCAACGTTGGATATCCTGCAGGGACCTTGAAGTGGCTTGCAGCAGAATCAACAGAACAATACAAACATGGGCAGGAGGTTAGCATGGGAGCAGCATTGAGCAAGGGTGCAAAACTGGCTCAGGCTATGCCGGGCGGGTATGTGCTTTTTGTCGAGTGTGTTGATGGTGCTGATTTTCATGATTTGATGCAGAAGCCAGCTCGAGGAGATTGCAGGATCTTGGATGTTGGCCTGAATGCTTTGGGCCATCCTGGGAGGAGCGTTCGGGAGATTGCCTCAATGTGCAAGGAAGTCCCGGTGAAATGGGTCCTTCCGGGGCCCCGGACGGCGAAGTGGTGTGTGAACTACTTGTCGGTGGAAGGGCTCGGATTTGAGGGCCACCATGAGCGCCTGAGACAGGTCGCCAAAGTTGATGCTTCATCGTGGGGCATACAGGAACACTTCCAGCTGACTATGAGCCTGACGCAGGCACTTCTGGTGGACCAGTTGGACGCCTTCAATTTGCTATCCGTTGAGATCCAGTTTCGCCGGCTTCAAACCATTGAATACTCCTACAGTGAGAAGGCTCGCGACATGGAGTCCAAGGCGGTGGGAGGCCGGTTGAGTTTGGAAGAGCAGACAACATTTGGCGGTATTACAAGGCAGTTTGCAACGCTGATGATTTGCCCAGATCTTTTCGGCCATGTCAAAAGCGAAGTGGAGAAGGAAGCTTCTTTGGCAAAGAACATCAGGAAGGCGCGAGAGGAGCGGGAAGCGGCCCGCAAGGGTGGCAAGAAGGGCGAGAAGGAAAACCCTTGAGGAGTCGGGTGCGGGGAAGCGCCGGCCATGGCTGTCCCGCAGAACCCAGCCGGAGTTCAGATGATAGACGATGCCCTCGAGATATTTTTCCAATACCGCCCACGCATGTTTCAGAATTTGTTTACGGCTGCAAGTCTCGCAAAACACAGCAGAGGAGAGGCCGTCGGAGGTTTTTTGAGGCTGAGGTGAACAGAACTATAGATTCCCTCAATCAGATGTATGGAAGGCCTGGGTTACAGCATTGTGGAGGACTTGACTTGGAAAACTACGGAAACCTATCAATATAAACCGCTATAAAAATAATACTAAACTTTTTTGAGGCTTTAGCCACATATCCTTCAGCCCATTGCTGTTTAAAGACAATATACAGAATTGGTGTTCAATTCATGAGGCAGAACAAAAGAGTTTGGACAAGGACGGCGAGATTCCCAAAGGTTTTGAAGCATTGGCATCTAAAGCGAAAGATGCCGTGGAAAGACTCTTGAAGGAGGGAAAGAAAATCGCCAACCAGATTGAAGACAAGGCCTTGATCAAGAACGGGTTTTACCACGCTGACAGGCCATCTCAACGACCTGAACCATTGGTCTATGTTCCAGGAACTGCCCAACAAATCAGTGCCATCCAAGGCAACTTTGGAGTCCTTCGTGGGGAAGATTGCAGTCGATGTGGATCGCAGGTCCAGGCAGTTGAATTCATTGAACCTCGAGTCCCTTGGCGGCCTTTGATCCCGAATTGGTTTCGCTTCCCTCAGGGACCCTCTCACCGGTCCCCTTGGAGGATCTGCTTGGCCAAAACGGGCAACATGAGGTGAAGGAATTTTCATCGAGCCAAACTCTTGCAGCGGCCCAGGCCCGGGAGAAGATGGAGGCAATGGGTTTGGGGCGTAGTTATGAGGATCCACAGTTCAGACAAAAAGATGTTTATGTGGGTTTTGTCAACAGGTTGCTTCGCTTGGGCATGTTGGATTTGAGCATTCAGCCACCTGCAGAACGAACAGGAATGTTTCTGGTGAAGAAGAAAGGAGGTCGCCAGAGGCTGATTTTTGACTGCAGGAGGAGCAACTGCTACTTCACGGAGCCTACTCCCATTAAACTGGCCACTGGTGATTCAATTGGTCGGCTGGAGACTGGGAGAACCCCTCTTTATTGTGCTTCAGCAGATCTTGCCAATGCTTTTTACACAATGTCGATGCCGCAGGAACTTCGTCAGTTTTTTGGGTTGCGATCCTTGACAGCTGGGGAAACAGCTGTCGATGAAGTGGATGGCATCAAAGTTGGACCGGAGCAGTTGGTTCACCCCCGCATTGCCGTAGTGCCCAAGGGGTGGAGCTGGGCCATGTACTGGTGCCAACACATCAACGAACATCTGTGTGAGGAGGCTGGCTTGACACCTGAGGAGCGCTTGAGAGATGGGGAACCCGTGAAAGCGGGCTCATTGTGGCATATCCAATATGTTGGCAACCTGCACCTTTTTGGAACAGACAAAACAGTGGTTGAGAACAGGTTTTGGAAGGCAGTTGAAAGGTTGAGGAGTGCTGGCTTGACAGTCCATGAGATTGAAGTTAGTGAAGGCAGCGCCGAAGTCTTGGGCTGGAAGGTTGAAGAGGGTGGCATTTTGAGGCCCACCTTGAAGAGATTGTGGCGTATACGCACTGCAATCCGGGAACTCCTGCGAAGAGGACGTGCTAGCGGGCAGCAGCTCGAGCGGTTGCTGGGACACATGACCTATGTTTCACTTTGTCGGCGAGAAGCGCTCTCGGTGCTCGGGGAGTGCTACACCCTTTGCAAGCGACACTACAAAGCATTGGTGCCCTTGTGGAAAAGTGTGCGCAAGGAGCTGGCAATTTGGGATGGCATTAGTGTTCTCATTTACAGCAACATGCGGAGCTGTTGGTCTAGCACAGTGTATGCCGTCGATGCTTCGGAGTGGGGTCTGGGGGTCGCAACCGGTGAGTTTGCAACCTCAGAAGTGCGGACGCTTGGATCTTTTCTGGAGCGTTGGAGGTTTAAGGATGAAGCAGCTAGGAATCCAAGAGCTTTTGCAAGGGCACCAGATGAAGCTGTTTTTGGAGGGGCAGGGATTGCAGACCAAGCAATGGACACAAACACCTTTCAGACTGTTGGTTTCTGGGCCGTTGATCGGGACTGGCAGGTCGTTGGCAGAAACAAGTGGTCACAGCAAGAGTCTATGCCAGTGTACGAGGCTCGAGCTTCGCTTTTTGCCGTGAAGCATGCTTTAAGAAACGTCACAAATTTTGGCAAGAGACATGCTGTTTTGACAGATTCACTTACTGCTTCAGTCGCATTGGTTGAACAATATCCTTATGTACTTTAGCTGTCGTGTTTTACAATTGGCACTTCAACTGCATGTACCCTTCACCATGGAAAACCCCAGCCGTTCAAGACAGTGGATTTGCCCATCAGTGTTGCGAGCCATGCGCCGCAGATTTGTTCAGACTGTTGACGTCACCTATTGTGCTTTTGGAACTGCTTGGAAAAGGCCTACAAAAATTCTCGGAGTTCACATTGATTTGTCAATTCTTGAGTCACATTACTGCCGAGGAAGCAAGCGAGGGCTTTGTTTGTTCACTGGTAAACCTCACCTGTCCGTGATGGGGCAATCGGGTGGGGTCTGGCGTGCAAAACTTGCAGAACCCTACCCAAGACCTTTTTGTCGACTTCTGGCCAAATGTTTTGATAATGTGGAGCTTGCGTTGACTGCACAAGAATTTGGTCGCCACCCCCTTTAACGGCGAACCAAAAGGCCACCGTGGCAAAGTTGGGCGCGTTGAATGTGATGCCTCTTTCTTCGAACTTGGCCTTTAGTCGTGAAGGTCTTCAAGACGAAGCAAGACTGGTGTGACTACACTGGCACTGGAAAAGAAGTGCAACGGGTCATTATTCTAGGGGGGTTTATAAATCTAGGGGCCACATTATATAGGATTACTGTATAGGTATTTTCTGTTCTTAAGCTTCACTATGTTTCACTATTGATTGCAATCCTGGTTGGGGGGTTGGCCTAGCCCATAGCCAAGGTGTCACCCTTATGTGCCGCCTTGTTTGGTGTGCACATACGTGATGTCCAAGATGTGGTTTGCATGTTTTGCGACGCAGTCACAAAGCAGGAACTACCCCTGAAAGTGGACTATGTTTTGGAGGTCGGATGAATTGGTGGGATGAGCCTCAACTTGGCGCGGTGCACGAACCAAACCAAGTGTTTGTGACACTTCTCAACCCACCGGTCAGGTGAGGATGGGGTCAGATGTTTTGTGTGCCTCCCCCTCACTGCAAGGGGAGGATGACGACCATGAGCATTCAGGTGTTACATTTGTCCCAAAACTTGGGACCTGAGTGGAAAGAACAGCGCCAGTGGATCCAGTCGTGCCAGTGGATCGGTTCTCTAAAATCATTCTGCATTCCATATGGGTTGAGAAGTGGCAAGACGAATTGGGCCAAGGGCGTGGGAAAAGAAGCAAAACAACCTACTGTAGCTGACCTAGTTTGGTGAATTTCTTTGGGTGCATCCGGAACCGCTCTTGCTGAGGCCATCCTGGGCATCGAGGCGAATGCCCAAGAAGCGGACATTCGCAGTTTGACTGCAGCGGGGTGAACGACCGCGCCGTCCCAAACTCCCCGGCATCGTGAAGGGGACCGGGCCTGCGGCTGAAGTTAGTGTTCTGATGATTTGGCACCTCCAACTGCAGGTGGTAGCAAGACTGCTTGGCCAGTACGCACAACTGTTCCGATTCCAAGTGCAACCTGTCCCCCTTTCTTGATGCTGATACGTCGTTTCCCAGTTGGGCCTTTAGATTTGATGCAGAGATCACGCTCCACGAACGCGGCTGCCGAGGAAGCGCCTACAAGCGCTGTGCCCTGCAACTGCACCCTGACAAGGGCGGAGATCCGGACAAGTTCAAAACGATGACGCTGGGACGTTAAGGACGTTAAGAATCGTTTGGTGAAGACTGAAGACTTCAAAACAATCCTCACGTCTCACTTATTAGCTTTGGTAGGCAAACTTGCGTTGCAGAGTAGAAACATGAGCCACATGAGACATCATGAGACTCTGTCATGAGACCCTTTGGGAGACCCAAACAATCCCAAAAACCACGGTCTCATGGTCTCATCCACAACCTAGACAGCAGCTGATGGGTCTCGGCTGCCCGCTTGCATCTCAGGAAGGAAGCCTACGAAGTCCATTCCTCAGGGATTCTGAGGATTCCACTTGCTTTGTTGAGTTGTTGGCCAAATTGAGGTGCTGAGCAATCCTCAGAAGCGAGCCGTTTATGATCTTCATGGAATGGAAGGAATCAGATGTATGGAGCAGGCAGCGCAGATGGAAGCCAACATGTCGAAGCCTAACTGCAGTGATATCCCAAATTGAGAGCATTGCAGCCCTCCATTCTCCCAGAAATCAACTGGCCAAAAGGCTCGGACCAAGACGGGAAGCTACAGAGCTATACCATACTAGCCAAGGGAATAGATCCCCTCATCTTGGAGTGTAGTCCTATGCCTTCTTCCTTGTTTTTTGCTTTTTGCATGCTTTTGCTGTGACATGCCAAGCCCAGAGTCCGCTTTGCCAAGCCCAGGGACCTGACGCCCATGTTCGCGGCCATGATGCAGTTGGCACAGACTGGCTCGACCCGACGCAGCTCGGAGCGACTTCCTCACCTCGCGGCGCCCGACCGGGCCTCGTCGTCTCGCTCGAGGTGGTCAATTCCAGACGTTGATGGAGGTGTCACAAATGGTGAGGTTTGGTAGCAGGGTGTGTTTGTAAAGACACCGAGACGCGAGCATTGAGTACTTGGCAAAAGTTCAGCTATGCTCAAGGAACTGGCAGCATTCACGCGTATCGTTGGGGGCATGATTCCCGTTTAGCATGTCTTGTGGGTCCCTGTTCATTGTTCGAACTCCGAAACACGTTTGGTCTCGAAACGTAATGATGCGCGCGAACGACGAATGTCCTTGTGCTACCGGTATGTTCCATGCGAGGAGCGATACTGATCACTGTGATTGTGCTTTTGGCGACGCTTGGCCGCAGTGCCTGCTGAATAGGTTTTCTTTGACGTGGCTGGGGCTCAACAGGTTTTCAAGTTAAGAGAATCTTGGATAATAATATGGAAAGTATGGAATTACATTGAGCGAGCGCCACCCAGTATTCAGGCGTCCTGATGGCAAGCGTCGGTAAGCTGCGGGAGCCCTGCTACTCCCTTAGGGTAGCAGAAGGCAGCGTTGAACAGAGAGATTTCAGGGCATGGAAGTGATGGCCCGCCCCGTTGCCTCAATCACCGATAAGCTGGCGATGTTCGACGAAACCTAGACTCTCAGGCATACCCCTCCGCAAACTAACATGGAACCTGAGAATTGACCGGTGAAAGACCATTTTCCTCTACAACTCAGTGGTTTTGGTGGAAGACCAGTTTCCTCTACAACCCAGTGGTTTTGGGGTTCCATCGGTTCCATGTTAATCTGCAGGGGAAGCTCAGTCATGTTGGCACTGTTTGAGTACTGACAATGCATGCACCTCAGACAACATTGCCTTTTGTTTGCTAGACACTGTTTCTTCACAGAATGGATTTGCTTCACTTGAATGATCCGTGACAAGGGAGGGTTGATCGTTGATGCCAGTGATCAGCATTGACAAACCTGAGGTGTGTTTTGATGCTGCCCTTTCTGCTGGTGACCTTGAAATTGGATGGTGCGACCTCCTTTTCCTGGCCGGTCGCTGCCATTCCTTCCTGGAAGCTCAGTTCTGGCCCGCCCGAAGCCGGGGAATTACGAAGCCGGAACCGGAGATCGTTTTGGAGATCAAGTCAGGTCACCCAAATCAGAGGAACGACAATAAGACACACACACACATAGATATATATATATGTATACAGTGTTGTTGTTTTAAAGCCCAGCGGGGTGGTAGTTAGGCCGCTAGGAAGATGATGTAAGCATGGTAAGCTAGGCCAGGCTAGCTAGTAGCTATTAGGTACTGGACGCTCCTAGATACTGGACGCAGGATAGCTCACGCTTCTTCCCCCCGCCCTGTTCATTTGGTTCCAGCAAGTCGTGTTGTGGCTACGCATCACAGGGTAGTTCACACTATCCAAGTGCATCCAAGGATCCTTCAACTGGTGGCTTTGCCGGTGCCTCAAAAAGTCGTAAAGAGCTATATATATATTATATATTAGTTCTTGCTGCCTTAGAACGTGTCAAAGGTACTGATATCGGTCAGCATTGCAATGAATTCTGGCCCAATGCCAAGTCGAATGGGGAAGATAGCAGAAGAATGCACTTTTGCAGTCTCGCACTGACACAGCAAGAAAATAGACCACATCAGAAATTGTTTACCAGTGGCTCACTGGATCATGTCATATCTTGGGTCTGTCCTATTACCTGTAACAGTCAGTGAACAATTATCCCTACTTTTGGACAAGGCCTCTACTAACCATCATCACCCACTGTTACAGGTAGCCCTGGTTCGAGATACTTACCAGCAACAAGTGGGGCGGTTTCGTGCTGAGCATCTCGGTTCTTGCCATGGATGATCCACCGGACTCTGCCTTCTTTCATGGAAGGAAAGGGTCCTTCATGTCTGATGGATGTGAGGGTAACGTTCTGCTAGCTTCTACGGTTGGGCGTGGCATCCCTAGCATGGTTGTGAAGATTCATCTTGCTCCTTGCTACATGGACCTTTTGCCAAAGGGTACTAGATTTGTTCTTCGGCAGTTCACACTGTCTTTCGATGATGCTGGCCCTTGCATTGTTGGATGCCTCCATGGAGGAGATTTGATGCCTTTGATCTTGGCGCCACGGTCAAGTAACAACATGGCTGAATTGTTCTCAGGGTTGGGTGGCTGGTCTAGCACGCTGCCTTCCTTTGGAGCAGATATCACAGTTGCAGTAGAGAAGAACGAAGAGGTGGCTAGGATGCATGCTTTGACTGCAAAGATCGAAGCCCTACCACTGGCATCTGCTATAGGAAAACTCCATCAGAAGAATTTGCCACGGAAGTTCATCCTCATTGCCGACCTTGAGGAGGAATTGACCTGGTATTTCCTTTCATGGTTGAAGATTGCATTCTGGCTAGCCAGTCCTCCATGCCAGTCTTGGTCAACGGCTGGCCACATGGAAGGCCTTGCCTCGCCCAATGGAAGTCTCATCAAGAGTACGACTTCCTGGATGATGGACATGGGTGCGAAAGCAATCTTGCTTGAAAACGTGCCAGGACTGACAAGTCATCAAGACTTCGATGAGGTAAAGAAGAATTTCCATGCCCATGCATACCATTTGGTGTTGGATTCCGTCGAGGACGTCTTCCCCATCCAAGCCATTCATCGCACAAGATGGCTTGGGTTGGCAGTACCAAAGGACATCCAACTGTCCTTGTCGACCTTGGAGTATGTGAAAGCAATTCACCTGCCAAAGGTATTCCCCCAGATCGGTATGAACAACTCCATGATGATTGCTGGTGTCTTCAACGATAAGATACAAGAATGGGAATGGCCACAATTGATCCCAACGCCAGCTGCTGTTGAGATGGCCAAGGACAACTCCTTTGTCCCACGTGCACTCCGGAAGGGAAACAAGCTGCTGGGTCGGGAGGAGATCATGGCTATGAGAACAATTTCGCACCATCAGCCTATTCCGAGCATCATGGCAAGTTACATGAGACAGCATGAGATCAGCAGGCATCTCTTGGCCAAAAATGGCCTCCATGTTTGGTTCGTGCAGGACCTCGACAAGATCCGGTACGCAACTCCCCATGAGGTGGCCTTTGCAATGGGACACCCAAGCAATTTGGTCCTTCCCTTGAATTACCCTGCTGCCTTTCAGATGGTTGGTAACTCGCTTGCCTACGGTCATGCAGCTCTGTTGATTTGGAAGACTCATCTGCTCATGGGTGATGATTCACCATTTGTGACCTCCATTCAGCATGTCAATGACCTGGCGAAGCACATCCTGGACAGACAGCCCAAGTTCTGTGAAAGAGTTGCAGTCCGACGAGACAATGTTGTGACCATTGAGATGGCCTGTGGCGACAATTTTGCCGAGCTGCGCCTGAAAGTCATCAGTACAGAAGCCCAGGAATTAGCATTTGATCGTGATGTGGATACTTCCGACATGGACAACATGTCGGACAGCTTGATTGAACCCACACCTGCAAAGGTGCAAAAGACACAGGCGTCAGCCATCACGCCAACTGTGCCTTACGAAGTTGACGCAGGCTTTGCTGGCGTACCAATTCTCCATGGGGATGATTTGGTTGGGCTGAACATTCATCCTGACCGCCTTCGCATCACAAGGCCTGATGATTCCATGATCGAGGAGCTGAAAATTGTGCCTGATGACGTCCTGACAAAGTGGGAGGAGGGTCAGGTTATTCATGTAGCCAACATGCACCCGGTGCAGATCCTCCACAGCAGTGGATGCTGGTCGGCCGCGGCATGGACTAAGGATGGAGTGTCTGTGAGGAATGTTTTCCAGTTGATGTTGCCCCATGTTGTTGATGAGCACATCCTTGCAATACAATATGGTGTAGAGGAACTGGACCTTGATGACCTGTTGCCGCCGTGTGAGGATGTTCAGACAGTGCTCATGTTTGAACCACAGCAATTTGATCGACTCATTGTGCCGGATTTTGTTGCTGAAGCTTTTATTGCATCAGTTGATTGCTGTTGGACATTTCGTGACTTGTGTGCCTTTGTTGCTGCCAAGTGCAATGCCCTAGTCACAAAGGTTGGAATTTTTGATGGGGATGCACAAATGCCGGAAGCTGCATATGTTGTCCAACAGTTCTCCGCCCAGTTTCGTGCAGCACTACTCCCAGCTACGCTGGAAGTCAAGCAGTTGATCCCGAGGCAAGCATGTCCACTCACGCTTTCGGAGCATGTGACTGTCGAAGGTATCCGTGTCAGGAACCCATTGCATAGTGAGAATGCCCTAACGTCTGATGCAGGTCACATCCGGATTGCAGCCCGATGTCCGAAGTGGGGTACAATCAGACCCATTTCATGCAGGAAAGACATGCATGTTGAGCTCATGACCACGCAGCTGTTCCCACATATGTGTGATGATGCTCGCCTGTCCATTGTAGTTAACTCTGCTAGTCCTGCAGGGTGCACCAAGATTGAACAATTGCTCAAGTATGATCATGTGGAAGTACATTTCATTGGTCCCAAGCCGTGGCCTGCTGCTAAGGTCGAACTCCTTGTGCCTTTCGTTCCTGGTGAGCCACAGGACCCGGAGTGCACAACAAAGGTATGGATCAAGGGGCCTTTTGATCATCGAGCCAAGTTGCAAATTGTTGACCTAGACTGGACTGTCACAAGAGTTGCTGCCGCATATCAGACCATGCATAAGAGCACACTCACGATGTTCGCCACACAGCATGGTAAAGGTGTCGATTCTCGGTTGACATTCCGCCAGATATGCACGGACCATGAGCTGCACATCCGAGCTTGTGCCTTGCCTGGGGGTGCCAGGAACACCGATGATATTGCCAAAGTGTTGGAGCCACTCCTCCGAGCGCGTGGTGTACCGCCTGATTCAACACCAGGCAGGATCAAGACCATTCTTTCTAAGATAGACCATGCAGAACTCCGTGCCGCCCTGAGTGATGAGCATTATACTTTGTGGGCCAAGCTGAAGGACTGGGCTAATGAAGCCAAGATTAGACTGGTGACCACAGATGAGCTCCGCAACCACCAGAAGCAGGCAAGATCGCTTGAACATAGGACAACAAAGTCTGAAAAGCGTGCGTGGAAGACACCAGTGCAGACCCACGTTGAGGTTGATACGCAGCATTTCAAAGCGGGTGACCAAGTTGCCCTCAAATTGACATTGCCCAATTCGCGCCTGATGCCAAGGGACTTGCAGTTGTGACCAAGGAAGAAGCTGCCAAGTGTCTGCCTGTGCGACCGATTTCCAGTGATCCACTCGGGCTCATCATCCTGAGTAATCAGCCAATTGCAGGTGTTGTGCCGATCACAATCACAGCCACAGATGCCAAGAAGAGACCTATCCTTGTCTCTGCGATCCTCTTGAATTTTGGTGACCCGATTATTGAGCACAAGCCATCCTTGCTGCACTCAACATTGGTTGAAACACCAGTGGCTGTGATTGAATTTGTGATCAAGCGTGATATGGTCAACAATTGGAGTGAAGTCCAGGCACCCCTGGCCTATTTGGGGCTTCATGTCCCTGAGATGCGCAAGCAAACGGTCACTGAAACCTGGTCGATTGCTGCCTATGATGATTCCAGATGGCGAGTTCCGCATGAGGATGCCGCATATGTCCATGGATATGCAAAGGTGCGCAAAGAGCAGTGTGATGCAATCTTGCGCCGATCTGGTTTGGCCGGCATTTTTCTCTTGCCTCGCACCCAAGACAAAAAGAAAGACCTTGCGTATTCGTTGATTCAGCTGCCAGGCAAGTCCTTAGATGAAGCCATTTCCATTGCAAAGGACTATCCCAAATCCTTGGGTGTGGTTGAATGCTTCGCCAGCTATGCACTTCGCACTAGGAGAGAAGATGCCAATGAAATGCGAACCAAGATCCACCCAAACAGCATTGCCATCCAGGAAGGAAAGATTGCGCCAGACTCCCTTTGGTTTCTACTCAAGGGCTTGCGCAAACAGACCACCTGTGAGGATCTGACCAAGCTCCTCATTTCGGTTGGCTGGGTTGATGCGTCAGCAATCAAACCCAAAGGAATGGCTTGGCTCATTTGTGCACCTCAAGAGCCACCTGCTTCATACATGCAGATTGATGATGACCTTGTTTCGATAGCAAAGATTGGACAGGAGAAGCAATCTGAGTCTAGCAAGCTGACCGGAAATGCACAATTCGTCCCAAAGCCAAATCTTATCACACCAGTAGCTGTCTCGCCGGCCTCCACAGGCCCCTCGACTGCTTCTGCACGTTTTGATGAGCTTGAAGACAAATTGACCAAAAAGATGACAGACATGTTCATGTGCAAATCTGCTGAGACGGACGAGAAGTTTGGCAAGTTGCAAGAGCAGGTGGTCCAGCAAAGCACTGCCATTCAAGATTTGCACAAGAGACATGATGATTTTGCCGCCCAGCAAATTGATGCTGGGAACAAGCAGGTTGAAACATCCAACAAGTTGGATCGCCTAC